ACGTTAATTCTACGCCAATTTTGGCGTAACATCCCGTATAGTTCATCAAATTCAAAAGAAAAACATGTTCTACCCTAAAGTCTTGTTTATTATGTGCCAGGTTGTGATTAAAATTCACCAATTTGTTGTTGTAGTCCTTTTCCTTTGGTTTTCTGTGATTGTTCTATCATATATCAGAAAAAACATAAACAAACGTCACAACTTTGCCACGAATTACACGTGAAGTTAAAGGACCATCTTCAACGCGAAAATACATTTATGAGGGCCGATGAGGGCTAAATCCGAAACAAACCGTGCGTGTATAGCCGCTTTCCAGCTGACGCTTTTGAGCACGCAATCGAGCTTTTGCGCGCGCAAATGCTTCAAGCGCATGTTCGTGTTCCAGCCGTACTGCGCTTCGAGAGCTGCTAACTTTTGCGTTTCAAACACAGAACACTGTGCTGCACCCAGAGCTGGGAGTAACGATAAAAAATTGTTACTTTACTTTAACGAGTTACTAAAAGTAACGCGTTACTTGGTAACTTCGTTACTTTTCAGATTGATTGATAAGTAACTGTAACGACGTTACTTTCCTGAATTTGTTTATCTTCTTTACAAATAATTGACGATTGAGGAAAAGGAATCCAAAAACTTCGTATGTCAAATAAAATGTGGGAAGTACAGAAAATTTTCTGCTCTAAAGACACTATATGCAGATACTGGGACGCTTCAAAAAGCAGGTTTGTCCAAAACCAAGTTTTCTATTTAGTCGCTTAATCCTTAATCCGTTTGAATTTTGCAACAAAAATCTTCCACATATTCGGACTCACAAACTAAAAACATACTGGCATTTCGTAAAGGTCTTATTTGATTGTTTGACCTGCTGTGTTGGTGAGTCAAATTAAGGAATAACGCAATTTTCGACGTAAATAGTTATATTTAAAGTAACGCGTTACTTTAAAAGTAACGCTTTATTTAAAAGCAGCGCTTTATTTCAAAATAACGCGTTGAAGTAACGGGTTACTTTAAAATAACGAATTACTTTTAAGTAACGAACTACTTCTAAAGAAAAGGAGTTACTTTCAAAGTAAAGAAGTTACAGTAACGCGTTATTTTCCAATAAGTAACGAAAATAAAGTTGTCATTATTCGAAAGTAACTGTAAATTTTAGGTAACGAGTTATTTTTAAGCAAAAGTACCTGTAAAGTAACGCGTTACTTTTTTCAAGTAACGATCCCAGCTCTGGCTGCACCGTGCTTAAAGCACACAGCTGGAAAGCGGCTTATGAACGTTTCAATTGGCTTCTGTCCCGAGACATGATTTTAGCAGAGATTTTATGCCTAGTATTCATTACAGCGAAATTCTGTCTTTTTTGACAACATTACTTCGACAATTTGACGTTTTATGCGTGAATCAAACGTCAAATTGTCGAAGCAATGTCAAAAAAGAGGCAAAAGAGCGAATTTCGCGGTTATGAGTACTAGGCTTTAGCCCTTATAAAAACCCGTTGCAACATTGGTTGAAACCATAGAGGTTGAAACCTATTCGTGTCGAGGGAGTATTCGGTGTTGTACGGTTTCTATTTGGTACCGAACAGAGACCGAAGCACCGTTTCACACTTTCTCGGTAGCGACCGAATGGAATTGTATACGTGTGAAACCGGCCTAATAATCAAATTCTGCACGTCTATTTTTTAAAAATCGAAGTTTCTGCTTTCTCAAATTAATTAAATTGAATTATCTGTAATTGCTGTATTTTCTCGCGAAAGTGAAACACTACAAAAGCATTTGTTCGTGTGTGTGACATAGGAAATCAAATTTTGTTCCGGACGCCGATCAAATTTGGAGACCGGATCCGTTCACTTTCTTTCGATGTATCTGTACGCGCTTTAATGTAAACGCGGCATTAGAGATTAGACGTTGTTTTCCCTCTTTTAACGTGAAACAAATAGAGATGGCAACTTTTGTTAATAAACAGTTCATTAGTATCGTTGCTTTTATCGTTTATCACAGCTCCAACATAAGCACAGCCTAAATAACAAGGATAGAAAGCAGTGGCGACGCCAGGGGGGGACCAGAGGGGGCCGGGGCCCCCACTGAAATTTAGCTGGCCCCCCCTGAAAACTTGCTCTCATGTCGGCAACAATGCAATGCAACATCAGCAGCCTCTGCTGGTTAATTCGGTGGGTACAGGCCAAGAATCGTTAACTAACAGGATTGCTCATCCTCATAAGGCGTACGTTCGCCAATTCTCGAGTCAGCAGGGCCTGCGAGTGACGTCAATACCAATTAGCAGCTTATAGTAATGACGTCACCCGCAGGCCTCGATTGGATGCTTGCGATTCAGGGGATTACGACAAGTAAAATTCCACATTCATGACATCACCCCTATATAACGCGTACAATACAGGCGATAATGACGGTTGCTAGGCAACCTGACGTCATGAAAGTAGAATTCTATTTTTGTATTTTTTAGTGGAATTCTACTTGTCCAGGGCTGGGATCACGATAAGTCAGTGTTACCAGATTGGGGGATTTTCCCCCAAATTTGGGGGATTTTCAAGTAGATGGGGGAAAATCTGGGGGATAGTTTTTTCTGGGGGATTTTTTGGGGGTAAGATTTGCAAGAATTTTCGCTATTGGGAGAAATCGGGTATATTTCAATGAATAAAACTAAAGTGAAAAATGTATTAAAACAACTGCGCGATCTATTTTTTCAATCAAGTACCAATAAAAAAGATACAGTTTGCTTCTTCTCCAGTGTTGCCAATGGGCGGATTTTAATCCGATTTGCGGATTTTTTTTGGACGATCGGATTTTTTTCGGATTTTGTAATTCAGAGGATTTTTTGCGGATTTTTTTAGATAAAACGAATAAGGGCATGAAATCCCTCCAAAGCACAAAAAGCCAACATGGCTGCTATGGCAGTATGCAACAAAAGCGTTTGGTGTAGTTTTGAGGTTATGACAGTGCGTTTTTATTGAAAAACAACTTCCAAAAACGCATTTATTTGGCAACTTTTCGCGAGGATAATCAAGCATAATCTGATTAGCTGAGTTATCTGATGTGTCAATTGTGTCATACTTCCCTAACTCTCAAACTCTCTCTCCATCAAATGCCTGCGAGTGACTCAGCAGGTTATACTGATGACGTCACCCGCAGACCTCGATGGAATGCTTGCGATTCAGGATATGCTAGTGAGTTCATTTTTTCGTCGATTTTTCCCAGAATTTAATGGTGGGGGACCTTGGGGTTGTTCTCAGAAAAATATAAACAAATAAAAAAGTGGTAAGGGTATGAGTTTTATTTTAAAATATTCAACGAATTTGTCTTTTTTTTTTTGCAAGCATGAGTCGAGAATAAATCCAGTGGCGGTTCGCCCATATGGGCAAGGTGGGCACCGCCACCCTGAATATAAAATGGAAAAACAAAAAATACTTTTTCTTCTGACATTTCATAAAAGCAACTTTTCGATTGTCATTTTGATTTTGAAACGACATTCTTTTAAGCACTAAATGCGTAAAAGTGACTTTTAAGTGCGTAAAAGTGATTTTTAGGCACTAGTGCCTAAAAGTGTCATTCATTGTTCAGAAATAAAAAACACAATAAACACAGATTTGAATTTTGTTTTGTATTTATTATGAATATTAAAAATGTAATTATTGAATTGAACGTTTGGTTACCCAAAACAGAACTTTGTGTTGTTACCTACTTTCTAAGATTCTAATTATTGATGTCGAATCTTGCAAAAAATCGCATGAAAAGTGTCAGACGAGGTGTCAGGTGTCAAGCAAAAGCAGGTAACAAAGATTTTGGGCTTAATCTGCTTATTCACATGAAATAAAATTGTGTTTTTTTATTATAAAACGCCAGTAGAAAAAATCTTGTATACAATACGTTACGAGAGACGCTCATTTCATAACTTATTGTATAAATAGCTATTTAATACAATATTTGAAAAGGCCGCAACCTTGAAAATCTAGGAAAAATCTGCCAACAGCTTTTTTTTATTTTTGTCGCCCACCCTTACTTGGACACCAGGAGCCGCCACTGAATAAATCTATATTTATTTGGGGGATTTTAGTTTACAAACAGGGATTTTTGGGGTATTTTTGAAATCCTTTGGGGGAAATTAGTTATAACCATCTGGCAACCCTGCGATAAGTAGAATTATACTAGAATTCTACTTTCATGACGTCAGGTTGCCTGGCAACCGTCATCATCGCGTGTACTGTACGGACTGTACGCAATAAATAGGTCAAGTGTGACGTCTTGAAAGTAGAATTCTACTTGTCGTGATCCCAGCTCAGGTTGTGCTTGTTTTTTCGTCGATTTTAAATAAAGAAAAGGTGATTTCAACAAGATTATAAAACGTTTAGGAATTCGTTTTTTTGACCTATACTGTTTAAAACTCGGCTAATGCATTTTAAGCCAAGGGTTGCGATTTGCAGCTGAAATTGCAGACATTTTCAGCTCAATAAGCTAAGCAGTCCTAGGTTAAGTGTTCTTGGGCACAAGCATCCACGATGCTGCTTTCGGTTTTCTGGGATTCCCCCAGACATATAAGTGTTGACAGGTACTTCCCATTCTTTATTCCAAAGAAGAAAAGCAATAAAATAGAAAAAAGTGCCCCTCCTCAATTTTTCTGGCCCAGTCTGGCCCCCCTAACATAAAACCCTGGCGTCGCCACTGATAGAAACCTTGAAACATGTATCACTTCACGTTCGAATTCGAAGTGATAACACAACCAACCGGTGGGCGCTTTTTTTTTGGAATTATCGGAATTATCACATTGGAGTTTAGATCATTGGAGATGGAAGTCTATCATTTCGATTTTCCTTCCCAAGAACTCGATTTCCTATGAACTAGATGCTCCATTGTAGTCGATATTCGATAACTTCGTACCTTCTCAAAGTATGGATTCTAGAATATATCGATACCAAATATCGATATTGTATCATATCGATGCTGGCATATCCCTCTGCTCTATGATGGGACCTTTCGATGGGACCTATGGGACTATTTAACCTAACCTTAAACTTTGTTTTGGTATTTTTATCTATTTTCATCTTATTTTCTTGTTTGAGTTTGAGAGTCCTGAAATTCGCAAATTATAAACACAATATATTAATAGAAACTTGAGGCATGCGTTTTTCTCAAATAAGCAATATTTTCCAGTCCATTTACCGATTATGAACTGCGCACCAAAGACACCCCTGCAGAAATGTATTGATTCCTTGTTGCTCCCTATAAGGACTTGAGTTTTCAGTTCGAAAAATTTTATTCTCGCAAAAATGGACAACGGAAATAGTAAAGACAGCAAAGACAACACACAACAAATTATGATACAAGCAAACAACTACAATGTGACTGTTATTCCTGTAGAGTTTCCTGTAAGGAATCGACTCTTTACTACGCAGCAGGATAATGACTATATCAATGATCAATATAGGTACGAATATTTTTTATTAAGTACATATGGATTTGTTTGATTTTCTTCACTGGCAAATATTTCATATATATATATGTGTACTCGTAGGTATTTGTAGATTAGTCAGTATGTTGAGACAAATAAGGCTACTCTATTTGCAACTCTACTACTATTTTCTATAGAGATTAACACTTCAATCTTTTAAGTCGTCCTAGTCTTTTTTAATACCTACATACCTTGGTACCTCGCTCGGTACATACAATTTACTTTATTTGCTCAAATAGGTATATTTAAAAAAACACTCTACTGTTCCAATAATGATATTTTGTTTCTAAAGTTATTGTCAGGATCCTGTGAAAAATTATTCTGGCTTGCAAACAAAATGGACCAATGATAAGGCAATCGTTCTACCAGAAATGAAAAAGGACCATCTCAGTTATGATGAATTTAATCATAATGATAATCAGTGTAAGTTTAAGGAACAATAAGAGCTAGATTTTCAACTAACTATATTTGCATTATATTATAGTGACTCAAAGACTACCATCAATATCAACCAGCTACACCAATGATTCAAACTACTGCCAAGATATTAAAAACTTCAATGTGTTGCAAGCCCAATGGAATAATGAAAAAACATATTTGGGGGCAGATGGGAAAAAGGAACATCTTATTTATGAGGAAATCAATGATAATCAGAGTAAGAATCATTCAGGGTGGCCCAAATTCGAGCCTCATCATTGAGATCTCGGTAACCGTAAGAGATATGGGGTCGGTTAAATTATGGCAAAGTTGCGCAATTTTATGACCAATGCCGTTTTGAAATTAGAAAGATTCCGAATACTTCTGGAGATATTCGGAAATTTTGTAAAATCGTTTTTATTTTTTCCTGGACTTGTAGAGCAATTTTAAAATAAATGTCACTTCATCGTTGTCACTTTTTCTCCTTTAGAAGTGCTATTAAATTTAAAAATCGACGTTTCGTCGTCAGGCGGCCATCCTCGACTTACTTTTTTTAAATACGGACCTGGATTTTTTATTTGCAAATCAAATCAAAATCAAATCAAATAAGCTTTATTGTCAAAAAACAATTATTAATGTTGTAGACAAAGCAGGCCTTAATCCTAATTCATCATACATCTAACTTCATAACAAGGATAAAAATAAAATGATTCACAACAATTGAAGGTAACACATTAAAAAATTGTTGACGAATGTCAACTAGCATCACTATCACCATAGCACTTACAAATTAATATAAAAAATTAAATCAAAATAAGCTATAATTATTTTTTTTTTTCCTTCCCTTTTTTTTCTTTTTTTCTTCACAAATATAATAAAAACCACAGGTCGAAGCCAACATACTCATCAAAAATAAAAACATTAAAAACAAAAAAAATTAAAAAAAAAAAAAAAAAATTGTCAAGTTAAATACAAAACCAGAAAAACAACAAAATATTACAAAGAAACAATCATGTTAATATATCACAGTGATATTCTCCTATGCTATAGTATGGCCTAGTAGAAAGCATTTTTTTAACAGATTTTCTAAAATTTTTGCTGCAGTGAATTGATCTTGTATTCAGCGGCAGGTGGTTATATATTTTAAGACCTTCAAATATAACCGAGTTCTTGGTTAAACCAGACCTTGGAATCGGGAGAGGTAAGTCCCACTCATTACGCATGAATTGCGTCTCTGGCCTTTGAATCTTTTATGCAACAAACAGACCGTTTCCAATATAAATAAGCAGACCACAGTAAGGATCTTTTCCTTTATGAAAAGGGGTTTACAATGTTCTCGTGTCCTTGCATTGCAAATATATCGCAAGGCCCGCTTCTGCAGTATCAGGACCGCATTTAAAGATGTTGCATTACAATAACCCCAAAAGGCCACCCCATAGCGAAGATGGGATTTAATCAAGGAAAAGTATACACTCCTGGCTATATGCCGTCCTAATTCCCTTGACACCACCCTTACAGCATAGCACCCCCTAGATAATTTTTTACACAAATGTTCCAAGTGCTCTGTGAACTTCAACCTTTTGTCAATGATTACACCCAAAAATCTTGTAGAGTCTCTTTGATGTATCACGCCATCTTGAAAAACTACATCTCCCGAATCAAACCTAAAACCCAGAACGCTTGTTTTATCCACATTAAAACATAAAGAATTACAGTCACACCACAATTTTATCTTGTTGAGGTCGCTCTGTACCACGGTCATCAATTCTCTCTCATTCTTACCACTCCACAAGAGAGTAGTATCATCTGCAAATACTGTAAATCTTGCCTGTACGTCTATTCGAGTCAAATCATTGATGTATATCAAAAATAGAAGAGGGCCCAAAACAGACCCCTGTGGAACACCTGTATTAATTTCCATTGTGTCAGATATGTTACCGCTGCATTTTACCAGCTGCCTTCTACCCGAGAGATATGACCTGAACCAATTCAGAGCAACACCCCTTACCCCGTAGCACTCCAGCTTAGACAATAGCGTCCTGTGACTGACACAGTCAAACGCCTTGGAGAAGTCGCAGAATACTGCTGCAGCGACCTCTCCGTCGTTTAGTTTGGTGTACAAATTCTCCAAGAGAGAGAAAGTACTTTATGGGAGATAAGAAATCCTAGTAACCGTTTCTTAACTAACCTTTCGATTATCTTTGAAAGAGTTGGAAGCAGTGCTATTGGGCGAAAGTTTGAAGGGAGACCTGTGTCTCCGCTTTTGTAAATGGGAACAACAACCGCTAACTTCAGACAATCTGGAAACACCCCCGCCAGAAATGAACAATTTATTGCCTCCACCAGGCTAAGAAGTGCCACCACAGGAAGATATTCAAAAACCGTCAAAGGAATTTCATCGGTGCCTGACGAGTTTTTTTATTCCTTATTTCTCTTATGATATCTTTCAGTTCATATATGTCTGTAGGGACTAAGAAAAAAGAGTTGGCTGCATTCACATGAGACAAATAATCGATGGGGTCCCTGCCGACTGAAAGATTAGAAGTTAGTTTCGCCGCAACTGAACAGTAAAAAGAATTCAATATATTAGGTCCTATGTTTACACTTATTTTCGCACTAGTATCCCCCTTTAAATATTTTACAATTTTCCAGCTTTCCTTGGCCTTGTTTTGAGCTCCGTTTATCTTTTCGTTATAAAAAAATGTTTTTGCCGAATTTATTACTTTTCGGTAGATAGCCCTGTATTTATTAAAATAAATTATAAAGCTTATATCATCACAAAACTTTCTTATTGTGTGTAAAGACCTCAAATTATTACCCGAAATTTTAATGCCTTTAGTAACCCATGGTTTTTTTCGCTTACGCCCCATTTTCCTTAATGGGAAAGCATTTCTGAACAGTACTTCAAGTTTTGAGTGGAATTGCTGAATAGGATTATTTGAAGACACAACATTTCTCCAATCCATCTGGTCAGCAATATTTTGGAATTTTTCATAATTGGATCTGCTATAGATTCTACGATACTTAGGCTTCTCGACCTGTTTCTCATTTATTAGTTGGGGAAAACACACTATAATCGCCTCATGATCAGAGAGGGCTGCTGGAACTACATCACAACACACCTCGGTTGATTCAAAATTTATACATAGTCTAAAATGCTTTCAGTTCGATTTGTAATTCGCGTGGGCTGATGGACCAACATACCTAAGTTGTAAGAAATCAATAAATTTTCAAGTTCTAGCTTATCTGTCGATTCGTTCATAAAATTTATATTCAGATCACCCCCCAGCAAAATTCAAAACAAGATAAAAGCGCCTCAAGGTTTACCAAGAACTGCTTAACATTGCAGTTTGGGGGTCTGTACATACATATTATAACAAGATTATGCTTTTTATCTTGAATAATAGAAAACTCAAATTCACCCTTTACCAACATACAATCATAAGTACTCACACATTCAAAACAGAACAAACTACTCACATACTCGTTAATTAAAATCATAGTACCTCCATGGCCACGATTTCTTCTACAGTATTTGGAAACAAGTAAATAGTCATGAATATGACATGACTCATCAGGTTTTAACCAATGCTCCACTACCAATAAGAGACTCGGTTTGTCCTGGCTTTCAATAAAAACTATAAATTCGTCAATTTTGTTCCTAATAGATTGGATGTTCAGAAGTAACACGGAAACGTTAGGTCCGCTCTCCATTGGTGTCCCCAAAATTTCAAGGTGACAATCGTTTTCTACCTCTCCTTCCTCCCGGCCGAGTCTGTGACAAAAAAATCAACCTGGTCAGCGCTAGACACAAGATCAACCGTAGAACGCTCAACAAATATCAAATTAGAACCTGCTTTGGGCGACCCCATTAAATCAATTAGCCCTCGAGCAAGGTCATTCTTACTTAAAATGCGACCTCTAAAATCATTATAGTCCATGAAGCAGACCCTGCTCTCTGAGTATCGATTCAACTGAGTTGCGCAGGTATATAGCCTAGTATTAAAATTAAAAATATCCGAATTAACAGAAGGCCCCTGTTTTGAGTAAGGAACAGAAACCAATATTACATTAGTATGCAAAAGACTTTTCAATTTCGTAAGAAATTTTTTTATAGAAGGATTTTTCCCATTTTTAAAGTCATTTGATCCAGCTAAAACAATGATGTAGTCTTGAATTGAAAAATCTTTTGATAAGTCTTCGGCACTAGACAATACAGTTTCAGCCAATGCATCTGTCTTTACAAACGACTGGATACGAGAGCCGTTACACTTGTTCAGCAAAAGGTTTCCCAACCCCAAGCCAAACTGATCACACAATATGAGTACTTTACCTCTATTAACACTGCACAAGTTCCCCACTTGAACAGGGTTTGTTGGTGTGTCAGCCATAATGGCATTTGACTGATTCACTCCCCCAGTGATCTCCTTTGGTTGTACACCCGACTGATTACTTCCAAATGGTAAGGTATTTTCATGGACCTGATCCGTGTACAAGTCCTTTTCTCTCAAAGCCCATAGTTCCAATTCCAGATTTGCCCTTTTAAGATCTTGTACATACAAGTTATTTTCCTTTTCTAACGTTTCAACACTAGTTAGCAGGGATTTTCGAATTCCATGTATTTCTTGCAGGTCCTTTTCAAGAGTATCTATTTTCGATTGAGATTGTCTAAGTTCTTCAGTCAACTGTCTAATTCTCTGTATAAGGTCCAGATGCTGTTTATTCATACTAGCAATTTTGTCTTCTTTGGGCATCCTAAATCCGATACTGTTTATAATTTTCCAATAACACCTTGAAAAAAGCAGGTCCGTATTTAAAAAAAATAAATTGATGATGATTCCAGGGGAACGAAACGTTGGATTTTAAATTTGAACCGCCATTTTGTAGAGAAGAAAAAGTGACAATGGAAATGTGAAATTAGTTTTTCAAAATCTTTTCAAATGAAATCAGGAGAAAATTTCAAAAATACGAGAAATTCATGTTTTCTTCGTATAGTTTTTATTTTTTCCTGATTTTATTTAAAAAGATTTTGAAAAACTAATTCCACATTGACATTGTCACTTTTTCTTCTTCACAAGATGGCGGTCTTAAATTAAAAATCCAACGTCTCGTTCCTCTGGAATCATCAATTTATTTATTTTTTTAAATACGGACCTGCTTTTTTTAAGGTGTTATTAAAAAATTATAAATAGTATCGGTTTTGGAATGCCCAAAGATGACAAAATCGCAAATAAAAAATCCAGGTCCATATTTAAAAAAAGCAGGGTTGCAGATTTTTTTGATTTAAATCGGATTTTTTCGATTTAAATACAAATTGCGCGTAAAAATTTACCACTATCACTTTTTTTCTCGTTATAAAATTTCCAGATATCGTCTTTCTTCCTTACCAGACATCCTTACTTTTTATTAATAAATAATTAAAACGACAGACGACGATTAGAGGGATTCCCAGGAAGATCAAATCAAATACCATTTTCGTATAATTAAACTAGTGGCAGCAAGCGAGTGTATCTCCATCCTTTTTAGAGACAAAAGAAAGAGGAAGATAAAGGTATGGTGCGGCCTGTGCTAAGAATGCCACTGGTTGCTAACAGCTGATTACCACATGTTCGCTGCTCACCCAAGGTCTGGCGGTGTGACGTCAGTGACAGTTGCGTAGATAATAGTATATTATTCAACGAGCGGGTAATGATGGCTATTACTCACGAAGGATGAAGTTTGCTCTACGAGCCGCAGGCGAGTAGTGTAATCATCCGAGTGAGTAATAGCCATTACCCACGAGTAGAATACTATTCTTTTTCTATGATTAAAAGATAATAGGCTCGAGTTATGCGGTTTTTTATTTAATTTTCATAACAAAATTATTTGACAATTCTGACAGGTGGAGGACAAAATGAGGTTAGGTTAGCACAAGTCTTGTCTAAATCAGCTGTCAAAATGACTGATTGGAAGGTTGAAGTATGTTGTCGAATTTTCTGATTGGCTCTTAAATAGTGGAGTAATGAGACCAGGATATTTTCATTGGTTGAAAACAATTGAGCAATGAAAAAAAAGTCACTGTATGAGTAATCATTCACATTGATCAATAGAAAATGGATGCATATTATGCATATTATTCAACACTCATAGAAAAATTGAATTTATCCCATTTGTCAGTAGCGTAGATAAATTCAATTAGTTGCATTTTGATTTAATGTTTACTGATATTTTTTATAAATTACCAAATTACTAAACCGCGATTAAAATATAATAATAATTTGATTAAAATCGCGATTTTAATCACTGATTTAAATCAGGTGATTTAAATCAATGCAACCCTGAAAAAAAGTAAGTTGAGGATGGCCGTCTGAAGACGAAACGTCGAACTTTAAATTTAATAACACCATCTTCTAAAGGAGAAAAAGTGACAATGATGAAGTGACATTTATTTTAAAATTGCTCTTCAAATAAGTCCAGGAAAAAATAAAAACGATTTTACAAAATTTCGGTTTTTTTCGAATATCTCCGGAAGTATTCGGGATCTTTCTAATTTCAAAACGGCATTCCATTGGTCATAAAATTGCGCAACTTTGTCATAATTTAACCAACCTCGTATCTCTTATGGTTACCAAGATCCCAATGACGAGGCTCGAATTTGGGCCACCCTGTGCATAACTAATCTTTGGTGGAGTTTTACTTGGAACTAAAATGATTTCTGGAACTATAAGTAAATGAGCTAAAATTGTCAGGAATTGTAGTCCTCTGCTATTAGGATAAGAATTGCTGAAAATTTCAGACTTCTATCTATAATAGGAAAAAAGTTATGATTTTTCCGAGGTTATAACCTACAGAAAAATTTCTCCAAATTTTTCCTTGCTTCAATTGAACAAAATATTTAAAACAATTGAGACATACTTAAAATAAATAAACTACAATTACCAAAGGACTTTAGCAAATATTTACTATAAATACATTCCTACATATTATTATGATTGAAAAATTTTCTAATTAAAACTACATGTATGCTTGATATTATATATTTGATACCCTAAAAACTTCTAAAATCATAGAATTCAGCTTTCAGTAGATCAAAAATTGTTTGTTCATGAGTTGAGACTTGAACCATTTCAACTAGAGATCTCCTGTGATAAAATGTATCATAGAGATACATACTTATTTTTTCATTTATAATTTGCAATTTAGGTAAGTCAGAACACTATTAGCTAAGACACATTTTTATCCTAGTCCTCATGTAAGTTCTAAACCCATTATGCCACCAAGCGTATATTAAAGGATTGATTAAGCTATTTGTTAAACCTAATATAGTCAACGGACTGGCTATAAGCAATCTCAATGTCCTACAAAATTCTGTTGGATCTTTGTAGTCACAATCTTCAACTACATAAATTACACAGGCGAAAAAATATGGAGTCCACGTTATTAGAAAACTGAATGTTGTAAATAGAACTACTTTGATTGCTTTCCATTTGTGTGGTGCTTGGTTTTGAGAGAGTTTCCTTCTCGGAGCGGTTTTTGTCATTGGCAACTCGATGCGGCCTTTGAACATTCTCAAGCTTTCCATTGAATCAATTTTTTCGGATATTGAATTGATAGTGTAAAGGGAGTATTGAATTTTTCTGATATTAGCCAGAGCATGGTAAAGTATTATGGAATATAATACTATGACCACGATAACTGGAATTATTCCAATGGAAACTGTTATGATGATTAGTGGAGCAGGTGCTATTGTTATGAACCAACATACTCTTCCACCATAGGAATTACCAGACCAACCCATTAGTGGCAGAAATCCAATAGTTATTGCTGCAAAAAATTATCTTGAAATATATTTAATTATAATTGTTGATAACTTACCCATTGTCCAAGTGAAACCAATTGCCAACCGTACTCGGCAAATACTAATCCATTTACAATATTTGATTCCGTAGACAATGTATAAAAATCTGTCTATGGCTAGTAGTCCTACAGAATATATTGAAGATACTGTGCTGGATACAATTAGACCTAGATTGGTTTTAAAAAAAATATATAGATTCAATAAAACAATTTTTAAAAAATCTCCTTACCAATTTGAATAGAGCATATTGTGTGGTCCCTGTAAAGAGGTGGATATAGTTGTCCAAACAAAATTGAAATTCCTGTTATAAAATCGGTCAGGGCCACATTTCCGAGAAAGAGATATGTGTATCTGGGTTCTACACCTACAAATGAATTGTTACAAACAAGAATAACAAAAAAATTGTCAATAATTTTATATTCTGACGAAATATTTTCTGGCCTAACCAGGTATCGAACTGAATCTGTAGGTTTGCTTTGCTCAAAAGATCAAACACTTAGCGCACCATATTCCCAAAACTAAGATAACTAACTAACATTAACTTACGTTTTTTAATAAGTAATCCACTCGAAACAACAACACTGAAATTAATCAAAATAACAAATCCGGCGACAAATGGAATCACATAAGTGTAAACACTCAAAAATGCATGATCCTCTGCATCCTCCAGTTTTGGATCAGTTGGAAAGCTGTTGCCCATGTTAGATGCATTGTCCGCGACGTCGTTATCTGCACTTGTGAACATCATAATTTTGTAATACATCATTTTTTTGGATAATATTTTACTTAATAAAGTCGCCCGATAAGGCCCATCACTCTTTCCAGAAATGCTTTTAATGTGTACTCACTATCAGATAAAAACAACCCGATAATGAACACTTACACAGAGCAGGCAGCAAATAAATGGCCCTACTAAAAGCTATATGTAGGTATATAAATTTCCAATATTCGTAGGCTTCTGGCAAGATAACAACTGGAATTGTTTTGTGTTTACCGATCCATTCTGTTATTATTATTTTCTGACCTGCTATAACAAGGGCTTATTGAAAATTTCAGCACTGTGCTCTGTACAAATAAATGTGTAATTCTTTTGTGTATTTTCGGAAGGTTATTTATTATTGCTTTTATTTTATCTAGATTGGCGGATTTTTTATGTGGAAAACGATAGGTTTATTTACATTGGAATGTCCCACTATAATTCTTTTGTGAAATAATTTGTTAAAACTACTGTTAGATTCCTTAAGTTTACATTGGCAAAATAGGAACTGAATTGTTTTTTCGCTAGGTTGCCCCAGCCTTAATCATCAGGCTATTATAATAATAATAATAATAATAATAATTCTACTGAATTTAAATGTGTTTGATAATTAATAAATATTTGTATTGTGTTTTTTCGTTATTTCTAATTTGTCAATGTAAGACTTTGGAGATCTTCCATGCATTCTTCTTCCCACTGTCTATAACAAATAAATAAAAAAGTTCCTTCCAAGAAGAATCAGAAATTCAAAATCGCTAAACATACCCGAACTATTCTGATTAAGTAGTGCTGACTAAAGAAAAAAAATACCGATTTCTGATTGTTCTTGGAATACAAGATTATTATCAATGGGTTCATAACACATGTCTGGTTAATGAAAAGGGTAAATATTTTTTCCATTTTCACAAAAATAGGTAGCAAGGGCAGAAATCAAAGCTTATCAATGAACAAACAACTCACAATATGTTCCATCGTTCCATTTATTTGTATTTATGGTGAAGAACAGATATGCAGCTTTATAGGGTTTATTAACCCATTTAATATTAGGAACAATAATATCGAGGGGGAATCCACCTAAAATTTTGTAGATACAAAATTCTAGAAATTTCAAAAAAAATCTAAAACTTTAACGCTATGCCAATGTATAATGTATAGGGTGTTTTCTAATTGAATGTCAATATTCAAGCAGGCGATTTTTGGGTCCATTTTAGGAAGAAAACTTCATATGAACGTATGTCCTAAACAATATCGTTAGACTCACCTTGAAGAGAAATACATTTTATTTTTTTAAGTAAAAACCATGCGTCGGATTGTCAAAAATCAAGTGATCGACTTTGCTTAGAAATGATTGGGGTTTCAAAAATATTTTTTTTCTACAAACGTCACTAAAAGTGTCATTTTTAACGGATGCTGTCAGTGTCTAAAATGCCATTTTATGACACTGGTGTTAAAAGTGATTACTTTTAGCACTAGTGCTAAAAGTAATCACTTTTAGTGCGTTTGTAGAAAAAAATAGTGTATGATATTCGTGCTAAAAGTGATTTTATTTTGTTCAAAGGGATCGAACACTCCGCCTTTGGCGTCGTGTCCCAAACTTCCCTTTTCACAAAATAAAATGTCACTTTAAGAACTTATATCATAAATAACTATTATTTTTATTAGGAGAAATCATCATAAATTTTAAAAAAATCATTGACTAAACAGTTACATTTTTTTTTTTCAGATGTCTTAAAAGCCAACTTAAACTCCAACCATTCCGCAGCGGCAACCACTTCACAAAATCCCATCATAAATGAACCATTCGAAGGACCAGTAATACCGATGTGCGTTTATCTGCACAACAAAACAGTCATAATGATGGAAATCGAAGACACACCTTCAGCTTCTTGTGAGTTGATATGTCAGGCCATTGTGAACTGCGAGGATTTGGGTTTGAATAAACTCTTGGCCATGCAAGTGTTTACTCTGTGGATGATAAGTCCGCTTTTAGAAATTCAGCTGAAACCTTACTCGAAACCGTACGAGATTCGTGAAAACTGGAGGAATTTGATTGAAAAATACGGACATGCTTCTTATAACAGGAAGGAAAAGGACGAACCTAAACTGGTGTTTCAGAGGAATATTTTCTTTTCCAGACAAATGGAAGAAAAAATAAAGTAAGTGTGTATTTGGTTTATTTTTTTTTAATAATGTGGCTATGTTTTTGAAGAGATCAAAAGATCTTGGAACTTCTCTACGAGGAATGTAAATATAACATACTAAACGGTAGATATCCGTCGGAAATTCCTCATTTAATTATGCTGGGTGGTATTCAGGCCAGGGAAGAACTTGGCCCGTACAACCCACAGGTAAAAGAGCATGATACTGGATCTAAAAGCATGATTGTTAGTGATAAAACATTTTAGACAAATGCTGAATAAATATTCCGTTACGGCACTAAGTAGCTTGGTGTAACACGTAGAAGTATTTAGTATTGAAAATGTTTCTGCTATCTTAGTATGGGGGCCCAAATCACAAAAAAAGTGCATGCTACATTTGCCACATGACGTCATATTATCAATCGAAATCCAATTTCATCCCAATCTAAATCACATACATTTTGCATTTTACTTTCTTTGCGAAGGACTGAGAATTTTTATTTTATAGCCATTCCTACCTAAGTAGCAGAGGCTGAAGTGAATGTGGACAGAATTCTATTACTATCAAAATCATGTTATGAACATGAAAACAAAAATGACGTCTTGTAATGACAGGATTGTCGTCTAAGGGCTAGTTTCACACACAGCGGTAACCACAAGACACTGGTAACCCACTGTTTCATAATGTATGGTTGAGCCACCATCCCAGAATTGGTGCATTCCTCAAAGAGAATTTTTTTTCGCATAATTCCTCAAAATTCCTGCAAATTTCTCAAAATTCCTCCAGATACCCCATCACAAATTCCTCCAAATACCCCACCACGAACTTCTCCAAATACCCCACAAATTCCTCTAAAAGAAGGAAAAATGTTGAAACTTTCTGCATGTAAAGAGGAAGGTGAGAAGATCATTTTCCCAAAATTTGAAAGTTTTCCAGTGGAAAACAGCAATATGAAAAATCTTGGAAATCAACCTACACAAATTGAATTAGTTGAAAATAAAGTCTCCCACATTTCAAAGTTTTCCTGCTAGTGAAGGAAACATTTTGAAACTTTTTGCATGTAAAGAAGAAGGTGAGAAGCTCATTTTCCCAAAATTTCAAAATTTTCCAGTGGAAAACAGCAACATGAAAAATCTTGGAAATCAACCTAAAATAACTGAATTAACTGAAAATACAGTCTCACACATTTCAAAGTTTTCCTGGAATACTAGTGAAGGGAACATTTTGGAACTTCTTGTATATAAGGAGGAAGGTGAGAAGCTCATTTTCCCAAAATTTCAAATTTTTCTAGTGGAAAACAGCAACATGAAAAATCTTGGAAATCAACCTACAATAACTGAATTAATTGAAAATACAGTCTCACTTATTTCAAAGTTCTCCTGGAAAACTAGTAAACGGAACATTTTGAAACTTTTTGCATGTAAAGAGGAAGATGAGAAGCTCATTTTCCCAAAGTTTCAGATTTTTCCAGTGGAAAATAACAACATGAGGAATATTGGAAATCAACCTACAATAACTGAATTAATTGAAATACAGTCTCACACATTTCAAAGTTTTCCTGGAAAACTAGTGAAGGGAAAATTTTGAAACTTTTTGCATGTTAAGAGGAAGGTGAGAAGCTCATTTTCCCAAAATTTCAAATTTTTCCAGTGGAAAACAGCAACATGAAAAATCTTGGAAATCAACCTACAATAACTGAATTAATTGAAAATACAGTTTCACACATTTCAAAGTTTTCCTGGAAAACTAATGAAGGGAAAATTTTGAAACTTTTTGCATGTAAAGAAGAAGGTGAGAAGCTCATTTTTCCAAAATTTCAAATTTTTCTAGTGGAAAATAACAACATGAGGAATATTGGAAATCAAGCTACAATAACTGAATTAATTGAAAATACCGTCTCACATATTTCAGAGTTTTCCTGGAATACTAGTGAAGGGAAAATTTTGAAACTTTTTGCATGTAAAGAGGAAGGTGAGACGCTCATTTCCCAAAATTTCAAATTTTTCCAGTAGAAAACAGCAACATGAAAAATCTTGGAAATCAACCTACAATAACTGAATTAATTGAAAATACAGTCTCACACATTCCAAAGTTTTCCTGGAAAACTAGTGAAGGAAACATTTTGAAACTTTTTGCATGTAAATAGAAAGCTGAGAAGCTCATTATCCCAAAATTTCAAATTTTTCCAGTAGAAAACGGCAACATGAAAAATCTTGGAAATCAACCTACACAAACTGAATTAGTTGAAAATACAGTCTCCCACATTTCAAAGTTATCCTGGAAAACTAGAGAAGGGAAAATTTTGAAACTTTTTGCATGTAAAGAGGAAGGTGAGAAGCTCATTTTCCCAAAATTTCAATTTTTTCCAGTGGAAAATAACAACACGAGGAATATTGGAAATCAACCTACAATAACTGAATTAATTGAAAATACCTACAGTCTCACACATTTCAAAGTTTTCCTGGAAAACTAGTGAAGGCAAAAATTTGAAACTTTTTGCATGTGAAGATTAGAAAGGTTGAAGGCTCATTTTCCCAAAATTTCAAATTTTTCCAGTGGAAAATTACAACATGAGGAATCTTGGAAATGAACCTACAATAACTGAATCAATTGAAAATACCGCCTCACACATTTCAAAGTTTTTCTAAAAAACTAGTGAAGGGAAAATTATGAAACTTTTTGCCTGTAAAGAGGAAGGTGAGAAGATCATTTTTTCAAAATTCAAAAATTTGGAAAAATTTCCAGTAAAAAACAGTAACATGAAAAATCTTGGAAATCAACCTACAAAAACCGTATTCATTTATCTTTTGAATTTTTTAAATTTGACAATTTCTTCAAATTCCTCATAAATTCCTCACAAATTTTCCCAAATTCCCCTTAAATTCCTCCAAATTCCCTATAAATTCCCCAAATTCTCATAAATTCGGATGAGTTCCTATAAATTCCCCTCAAATTCGTCTAAATTCCCCACATTTTTGGCAAAGAATTCCTAGGTGGTTTGCCCCTTGGCGAAAACTATTGGCCATACTTCAGATTCTTTAACTCAATCCTTACTTTGTGAACTTGTGGTTAACCTGTGACTATTAATTTGATAACCAGTGCAGGCTACCACTATTTGTGAAACTGGGCCTAAGAATGCTAGGTCCTATGGGAGGTAGAAAGTTAGACAACATGTTAAGTACTTTTATGATGATCTTTATTAGTCTGTTTAATCCAGATTATAATTGTGTCTTGATAACCAAATATATATATAAACAATGTATGTAATCAATAATATCATGTAATGTTATGCAATTGATGTTGCACTTTACTATTATTCAAACATATTATATACTGGGTGATCCAATCATATCGTCATATTGCATCACACTCACTCACCGTAGCTTAACTGATTATAACTTGCTTTACCTACTTCCAAAAAATAATAATGATAAGCAGCACTTTACCCTCCTCATAACTCAATGCCGCTTTGATGAAAATTGGCTTCAAATGCTTATTTTGCTTTAAAGACTATTTGATAAACATCTTTTAGAAACATATTTTTATTCTTAGATCCATTCCACTCACTTCTTCAGGGAAGAACAATCCAAATTCCTTCCAGCGCATGTAAGGAAAAGTCCTACTTGGACCTGGTTGCCGATCAGCAGCAAAAATTCAGCTGAAGTGAGGCTGTTGGAACAGTTCAAAAGAATTCCTAGTACTGCAACTAATCGGAAACTGATAAAGAAGTATTTGGAGTATTGTTGGTCTTTGCCGTTTTATGGGTAAGACATTTGAAAAATCCCTACTTGGACTATATTTTCAGCATTACAGGGCTGCCTTTTTTGAAGGCCAAATTGAAGAACCAGTAAGGGGACTAATTTCCTTGCTAACTCACCAGGATGTTCCAGTTTTGGTTGCAATTAATTCCAGAGGACTTTATATTATTGACGATTTAAATTGTGTAAGTATGAATTTCCTATTAAATTTTTGCATGATAGTTATTCGTTTCAGCAAATTGTCCTCAGTCTACGCTATGAAGAATTCAGTTGGGACTGTAGCAAACCATCAAGAGAAGATAACCCGGATTGTTTGCCATGCCTGTTCATACAATTTATGATTGTCGAAAATGGTGCTAGGGTGTCTAAAATGTTGCAAGTATTTTCGAAACAAGCCAGTCTTATGGATACGTTGATTAACTCTTATGTTTCTGAGTTGACTTTGAAGGCAAACGATGAAGTCGATAACAAGGTCTATGATAGTCAAGGAAATAGTGATAATGGTAATTTTGAATTTAATAATAATGTGGTAAATTTGTGTCAACTTTTACGTTTTTCTGTTAATAGATAATCACAATGCAAATGTCGGGAATAATCCATATTCATCAAACTATGCAGCACTCAGTAACAAACTGAACAAACTCACGCTAGCTACTTTTGATGACGAGGGACATTGTATTGGACAAATGGGTTCTTGGTCGTTTAGCTATTAAGACACTTCTTGAAACAATATCATACTTATTTAGTAATTTGCAGTTCCGAAATGTTTCACCTTTTGCATCTAGTTACAAAATGACATTGGGAATCTCTCATTCTGAAATTTCTACAGTGGCAGTTATTTTTTAGAGGAAGTTGAGAGTACAGATAGTGGGTATTCCAAAGAAACCTTTAGAATGACCCCGGAACGTAACTTGTAGGCAATACTCAATCCTGAAGGACCATTCAAGTATCTCATAGTCATATCCAATGACAAGCTTAGAAACTGCAAAATCCCTCCCTAAACTGATTATTGTTGTCAGAAACGTTATCCATTGGGTGTATTTACCTACTTTCCTATAGGTACTGTGTGTCTCAAAAATGTAAATTTTGACACTCAGTTTATATGTTATGTTCCCTAGACTGATGATAATGTGATTAATCCTGTAAAAATTAGCATAGGAGACTACAAATCTCTAGATTAAGTCCAAATTAAAAAAATTCTTAAATTCTTAAACAGCTTTAATTTTCCAAAAAAAAAAAATTAACATTCCATTATGTGATTTTAACATTATAGGTGGCAATATAAATGTTTACAAATATATAATAAATGTAAAAGAATATTATGTATTATTTAAATTGAATAATAGCCAATTTGACTACATATTTCAGATAAAAATGTAAAATTATGACATTCCAGATTCAAGAGGGTCCATCAGCATGGGATGCTTTTCCAGATATTGGACCATGGCTTGGTATCTAAAAAAATTTACTAAATCATCTGATTCATAAAAATAAATTCCAATTTTACTTTGAAACTGACAAATCCTTATGCCTGGAAAGTCGCATTTCCAACGTTCTCAAATAAAACAGCAATTCATTAACTTCCTGGAAATAGTTGGCTTCTTCTTCTGGTGAGAGAGTCTCATGATTTTGTGTGTACCAGGTCTGCATCATTTCAATTCTTGAAGACATCTAAAAGAAATTTTCGTATTAAATAGTTTCACTAGAAAATAATTTGTTTAAACTTGCCCTTTGAAACTGATGTTGCACATCATTGGCCCGATTCAACAACAACTCCTTAAATTCATCCATACAAGCATATTTAACGATCAATGCTTCCTCAAAAGTGAGACTATTAGGATTGCCTAATCGAGCCAAATACGGCGCCAAATAGTCAATGCCCTCTTCAACTTCTTTTTCTTTGTACATTCGTTGTTTTTCCTCTTGTTCCAACATTCCCAATCTGTTTTCCTGATTTTGTTCTCTATTATAAACGGACACTTCTAGATTTGAAAAGGCCATTTCGTGGGCACGGAGTAACAAGAACTCTGACATTTGATTTTCAAAATCTCTTATTGAATCGAGGACTACTTTTTCGTCTTTAAGTTGCTGCTCCAAGAGAAGGAATAGTTGAAGTTGTCTAGGTGGCTTGGCACCGATTTCGGCTTGATATCCGTAGGTTAGTTCTGGCCTAAATACCATGTCTGGTCCCATTTCTGATATTGGGGGTTTAATGAAAATTCTAGTTGAAGCAGTAACGTTATCTTTGCCGTAATGATATTTAAGGTGTATTTCTCTGGCTTTAATATTGAATTCTCTTATGCTTATATCTTGAAAGGGAGATTTGTCTTCGTTTCTTAAGAATTTTTGAATAATTTTGCTTATTGGTCTACGACTTTTTTGTTCATCATCTTGTCCCCTCTTTTGTTTATCATAGACAACTTGTCTATAATAAAGCCTGAAAAAGTTTAATATAATTAGAAAAAATCTTTCAAATATGTTTTTTCAATTACTTATCATCCCTGTCAATATAATGCTCGGTACGGATTTCCCCTAGAATTTCAATTTTTGCCAGGCCATCAAAACGCGCCTTACTATTGAAAAAAATTGTCCTTTCCGCATCAACATTATCCAAATGTTTATAATAAATGTGCTTAATGACACTGTCCTCCCTTCCATTAGCAAAATATTCGCTTTCCAAATTAGTCTTTGCATCCAAAGTACTTCGAATTAGTTTGTCGTGGCGATTTTCGAATTTTTCCTCAATAGTTTCTAGAACGGTGCAAGCGAAATCCGTATATCTGGTGATTTTTTGAACCAAACCGTCCATACACACAAAAGGGGCATATTCTTCTACTATTGTTCGTTTGAATTGGGTTACTTTAGAACCATCAGGAAAACGCTTTTTCAAGACTGAAATTAAAAAAAATATTTCATGAAGAAAAATGTGAATTTTCAATTACCATCATGAGGTATAGATATCTTCATCGACCATGGATACGGCATATCCAAGTGCTTTTCATCCCAAAACTCCTCGGGCTCTTCTTCGTCACCGATTTCCGCGACTTTATGTACTCGCCATTTTAATGGTTCGCCTACCAATAAATGTTCCCACTTTTCAATGTCTTTTAAATCGTAGCTCAGCGCTGCTAATCCATGGGAACAGTCTTGAAGATTCACCTGAAAAAACAATAATTTCAATATATCAAATCAGTAAGTACTATCCCAATGTGAGGAATAGGAGCTCAGGGATAGTGAGGGAGTATATCTCAAAATAACTTATTCTTTTTATTCATTAAGAAGTATATTTATTTATGTTTAAGTGCACTCTACAGAACAAATTTCTAAATGGTATACTGAAAAAAAAGAGCTGCCTCTGTCGGGTTCTTCTTCAAGGAACGAGACATCCAATTTCTGTCAGAAGTTTGGGCGAGTTGATAATATTGTCGGACCTGGTGTTTATGAGGGGGTGAGAATTAAAACTAAAAAAAAAGGACAAAGACATTAGGAAGCAGCTCGAGGACTTATTGATGTTTTTTTTGAAAAGCCCAAAATACATGGGCAGAACGGACCCTATTGAGCACGTAATTGACGTAGGCGACGCCAGTCCAATAAAAAGAAGGGTGTATAGGCTGTCCCGAAAAGAAAGAGAAGTCATCTATGAGTAACTCAAAGACATGCTGAAATATGGAATAATTCGACCAAGCCATTCGGCATGGGCAAGCCGGGTAGTGCTAGTTAAGAAAAAATCAGGCGAGACAAGATTCTGCGTAGACTCTACCAGACTTAACGATTTAACTTAAAGCATGAATTTAATGTACTATGATTTGGTCTTTGCAATGCACCCGCGACGTTTCAGTCCTTGGTCGACAAAGTTTTTCACGACATGAAGTGGAAGGAGATTTTGGTGTATTTAGATGATATAATGCATATTTTCGGAGACACTCGAGGAGCATATAATCAAGTTACGTAGGGTATTCCATAGATTTAGGGAAGCCGGATTAATATCGAAGCCAACAAAGTGCAAGTACCGGATGATTGTCTATATTTTGCACCCACATCTTTCTCACCTGTTTGAAGAGATACCTACCCAGAAAAGTCAAAAGTGAAAGTTGTAGGTAATGGCCTACATGATGTATCATTTTCTTTAATTTTAACAGTAGCGTTTAGTTATCTGTCACTGTTTATTTTATACGTCAAAATAGAGACGGAAATAGATGTTGAGCCTTAACACAGCCGTTAAAATAACGGGACAGGATACATCATAGGCCTGGATATCAAAAAGTTTTCAATGATATGAAGTAGGAAGTCTTCAATGATGTTAGTTACAAGTATACAGGGTCGGTAACTAAAGTGTGGCGAAGCAAAGTTATACTTTTTTAAATAGAAAACCCCGTATATTATTGTCTCATTGGGTTAGCCTTTCAAACCTGATTCCAAATACCTATACCAGGCTTTTTAGGTTTATTCCTCATAGTTCAGCCTCTGAATATCCCATTTTGAAGAAATAATATGGATTTTTTACACGAATGATTAGCATTATACCATTATATTTTGCTGGTGCGGTCTCTATACTTCACCTTTTTCAATAAAAATGCAATTATTTCACCCCTTTTTGACCTATTTCCTCCTGGACTATCAGGAATAAACCTAAAAAACCTAGTATATTTGGAATTAGATTTGAAAGACTATTCTAATGGGACAATAATAAACGGGGTTTTCCATTTAAAAAAGTATAACTTTGCATCGCCACACTTTTGTGATACACCCTGTATACTTGTAACTAACATCAATTGAAAACTTTCTGAGTTTCTGATATTACCTACAACTTTCCCATTTGACTTTTCTGGGTATCTCTTCAAACATATGAGGTAGGTGTGGGTGCAAAATATAGACAATCACCCGGTACATACAGGGAGAAATAGACATTTTAGGCTATATGGTTTCTGAAGACAGACTACTCCTAAAAGCGTTAAAGACGTCCAAAGCTTCTTAGGTCTGTGCAATTATTACAGAAAATGTATTGAAAACTTTTCGAAAATAGCCCAACCCTTATGTAATATAACTAGAAAGGCTACAGGATTTACATGTGAAGAAGCCCAAAAAATGGCTTTTGAGACTTTGAAAGAAAAATTAATTACGACGCCGCTATTTGCTCATTATCAACCAAATAAAGGCTGCGAGTTAAGAGTTGACGCATGCACTCTGAAGGCATCAGAGCAATTTTACTGCAGGAGGATAGCGATAGTAAATTACACCCAGTAGTTTATGCGAGTCGTAGACGCATAAAGGCAACTATAACTATTACTATTACGGAATTAAAAGGATTGGCCGCTATATGGGCGTTACAATATTCACGGCATTCAATTTATGGGAAATCGGTACGAATCTTTAGCGATCACCACGCACTTTGTTGGTTGAAATCACTCAAAGACCCAACGGGAAGATTGGCAAAGTGGAGTATCAAGTTATCGCAGTTCGATTATACAATAATTCGTGAAAGTGGTGTAGCCCACAAAGACGCAGATTGCATGAGTCGCTACCCAGTTTCACAACCAGCAGGAGCAGGACGAAATAAGCGCAACTCCAACATTCATCATGGACCAAAAAGAGATTGGAAAATTTCAACAGGAAGATACATAGACTAACAAAATCATCGAGGCACTTGAAAATCCAGAAAACGCCCCTATAGGACTACGAAAAAGAGCGAAAGCCTTTATGGTGATCAACGGAGTCCTTTATAATAGGTCTGTTTCCACAGAAATCACAAACCAGTCACGTTTTTGATTGGTCCAAATCGCCAACAGCCAGTTTCCTGACTATTTTCAACCAATAAAATTCGCTCTGACTGGTTTGTGATTTCTGTGAAACAGACCTAAAGTAAATCACAATTAAACGGGAAGGGAATACCTTCTAGTCATACCTAGAAACCTCGGAGAAACTATGTTCTCATCACTCCGAACCAACAGGAGGCCATTTAGGTGTAGTAAAAACCATCGCTAAAATAAAGGATAGATTTTATTGAGATAGACAACAGAAAGACATAGAGAAATTTATCAAAGGATGTCCGGATTGCCAAGCACGTAAAGGGCAACAGCATAGAAAACCAATAGGCTTTATTACACCCCATACCAGTGGGTATCCCGTTCGAAAGGGTTGCACTAGATCTTTTAGGTCCGCTCAGGAAATCAAAGTCAAATTAAATAAAATCAAATTAAGTTAAATCAAACTAAATACAAAATCACAAAATAAAATAACAATAATTATAACTTGAGGCCAGTGACAGTTCTCGCAAATGGTTCATAGGGCCCAAAAAAATCAATGTCTCCCAGCTCATTACACAGTCTGAGGGTAAGAGGAATGAAAGAGTGATTTGCGTAGTTGGTTCTGTGAAATTGAAGATGAAAAGTTTGAGATGTGCGGGTGTTACGTGATGGGACATGTAGGGCTATTAGAAGTCAAGTAGGGGCAATCAATTGTGGAATTTACGATTTTATGTATCAGTTTGATGTCTTTCTGCTTCCTTCTTGAGCAAAGGGTTGATAAGTGGAGTGCGTCACGTCAAGTGGTGCATAATGAAATTCTTCATCGTTAAAGAATTTGTAATTGAGATATCTGCAAAATTTACGCTGCACACCTTCAAGGTGATGAATATGACAGGCATAGTTTGGACTCCAAGCAGATGCAGCATACTCAAGATGTGTACGAACAAATGAGAAGTATAATGTTTTGATGGAGTTGATATTCGCAAATTCCCTTGTACTACGCTTCACAAACCCAAGCATCCGAAGTGTTTTGGTAACTATGGCATCGATGTGTGAAGAGAAATCAAGATTGGAGCTCAGCAAAACACCCAGATCCCTGATCTGATTCATGTAGTCCAATGGCGTACCATTGATGTGATATATGCTTAAAGGCTCTAGACCTGTGGAATTTCGAAATTTTACACTTCGTAACATTGAGATACATGCCATTAGTTTGATACCACTGAATTAACCTGTCAAGATCCTCGATTTTTATGTGCAATTAACTTTTTTAGCTCAGAGTAGTCAGAGTTCAACCAATTGGGATATTTTTCGACCCTAATGCTTTTTTTGGAAACATACTGATTAATTCCTTGCTGATAACTTCGTTCTTTTAGCGTTTGTCTACTTCCGTATAAGAAACTAAGCTCCAAAGGTGGATCAACCACCATACACAGCGGAAAGTCACTGATTCTGGTCACAGGTAGAGAAATTTCATTTGCGCGAAAATAAGATCCAGGGATCTATCGTAGCTGTTTTTCACACTTCACACTGTTAAGTTGCTGAAAAACAAACTTTCTATCAGAGTCTGCTCGGCCAAGGAGTGAGTGGATTCCGGCACCAGAAAATCATTCTCTGCGTTCCAGTGGACTTTCGGAAGATTGAAGTCGCCGAATATGATAAAACTGGCATTTGCATCGGAATATTGTGTATAGAGGAGGCAATAATTCGGAATTGTTGAAAGAGGTTTTTAGCCAGGTTTCAGTGAGGACTATAAAGTCGTAATTGCAGCTAACGGCATTTCTAAAGAGTTTTTGTTCTTAGGTGACCCATATTTTGGTAGTAAAAATTAAGAGAAGACGAGGTGATCTTAGGGTGTGGCCTTTGGGTTCTAATTGCGGGTTGTAGTTGTGACAGTACCAGAAATTAATATTCGATAGAAGGTATAATAAAGAAGTTTCTTTTAAAGAAAACTTTCCATGTATTACCACAGAATATTACGTAGTAAAAAATGAAACTTCTTGACAGCTTGATGCATGTATTTTACATTTTACATTATTGATGGAAGTCTCAAATATCCCATTACTATCCTTCCTAATTCAACCAAATTTGTACTCAGTGCTCCGTTTTTCAGAAACAGATATTTTCTAAATAAAATTGACTGAAAAAAAGACACTTGTTTTCAAATTTCATGTTTAAACTTTGAACTCTATATTTCAGTTTGGGATTCTTTTTGAATTCCACATAGATACACTGATGAAGCCCCTACAAAAAACCCATTAAAAATTGGAAATTCGATAGGCTTATTCTAAGTAGGTTGTCTGAGCAACAATAGAAGGACTAACAATCAAACGAGCGCTTTTTTTTTAGGACCCTGTAAAAAGTTTCAACTTGGCAAGGATTGTAAACATTTTCAAGGAATAAGGATAGGTATTT